AACACCTGGCAAGGCAGATTTCTATTTTCCTGTAAAACTAAGGTCCCTTGTTTACGTTGAAATGAAAAACATCTGTCTTGAAATCCTTTACAAATATAGTATGCTTCACAGTTAGTTAGATAGGACTCTGAGATGTGTGTCTCTTTACGGAATCATGAATTAGTCTCTTAATAACTCTTATTATACCTTGTGTGATATGTAAGCCACGTGCAAGTAAATGGTGTTGATTCTCAGACCTAGTTTTGCTTCACACTAAGATTTGGTGAGGTGATGGAAAGTATCCAGATAAACATATCAAGGAATTTATAAGCATTGTGAAAAATTTCCAACATGTACCTGCTAGAGGTTTGTAACTGGTGACCCTGTAGGAGTGGGAGGTGAGCAGATGAGCCTCTCCCAGGTGTGGGGGTTGGAAATAGGATTGTAAATAACCAGGCTAGGAGCAGAAATAGAGTCTGGATAGAGAAAAGAATGTATTTATAAAATGTCTTGGGGTGGAGACTTAATAGCATGAACATATAAGGAATGAACAGGATTTACCTACAAATTCCTAAAGAGAAAACAGATGATTGCATGCAAAGGGACATCTTGTAGATTGCAACAAAAGGAGCAGTTCAAAGCTTTTTGAAGTATATAGAACACAATGCACAACCAGGTTCAGAACAACCTCAGAGGGACCTCCAGCAACTTCTCTACACTGCCTCAGCTCCAGCAACCTACATCAGGCTACAGATGTAGTTCCCACCTACAGTAACCAACTCTAGTACATACAGTACTCTCAGACACTTCTGCACAGTACTTGTCACCAGGATTAGCATTAGAACTCTGGACCCGCCAACCCACTTGATGGGAAGTGTCTTTGGTTCTCTAGACTGGTAGACTAATATGGAACTTCTGAGGTGTCCCTTTACTGACCTTGAGTATGGGATGTAATGGGTTTGGAGGAAACGGTTGCCAATATAGTATGCATTATGTGCTTCGAGTTAGTGTAAGCCACTAGCTAAATATTTGATGAGAAAATCCTCTAGCTTTGTTAACCATTCTCGCCTAGTTATAAGGGCTGGGAAAAAATGAATCTATTAACTTTCATACATTTTCAGTTATTGTGGCCACTGCTTGTATGGTCTAGGGAATCTTGGAGCCTAATACTGATTTTCCTTACACCATGGATAGTTTTAGCAGTATGCCCCTCTAATGGGTTGGGAGGGTCCTTTCGCATAACTGGTAAATAGGATCTTGCTCCGTCCGTTTTAATTATGGGACCATTAACAAGCAGTCTAAATATCCAGAGACCTTTTTTTAACCCTATATGGGTTACTAATGAAGTACAGAGTAATTTTTGCTAGATAGCAAAATACAGACTTAGTGTATTTGTAGGAGGAAAAATCCAAAGAAAAGGTGCGGTGTATATAGGATGACCTGATCTCTAGCTGTTGCTCGGTTCACCATTACTGAAAATAAAACAGTGTTTCAGTGTCAATAAGCTTCTTCTATTTCTGAACTCCATATAATACTTCCGCTAATGCAGAGATATTCTAAATTCCCCCAAACATTCCATGTGACTGCACTCTTTCCTTCCATATGAGGCTCACTTTCCCCTACAGAGTCATTCGCAAGACATTTCTTTGCTTAAACCATCTACTGCCACTTATTTCCAAGGAGGGGACATACAACAGGAAAAGGGGCAGGCAATCCATACTTGTACATCTTTCTATTACAATAAAACCCTCTTTATCAAAAGTTAATGGCTTTGTTTCAAACCTTCCTCTCATCCAGCTTTTGGTGTTATTTCCCAAGGTACATCACCTTTCATACTTTTATATTTTTTCTCTCACAAGTTGTATGTGCATTTTGAGGCAGAAAGTGTCTTTTCCTACATGTTTGTATATGATCTCCTACTGCGGCCTGCCATACTGTAAGTTAACGTGTGCTAATAATGTTTACAAGTGGACAAGGAAAATTATGGATTTTTGTTGTTAGATTTCTGACTGGGGTCATAATTTTTATCTGGAAGGCTAGGAAATTTGTCATGGTATGCTTACCCAGCTCAGAATAAGTTTAGGAGCTTAAGTAACCCTTTGGAAAGGAAGATAATGCATAGCCTGCGTTCGTAGATTTCCTATTCATTGATGAAACAAATGAATTTGTGTGGAAAGGGTGTTCCTTCAAGTAAACAGCTATTTTTTCATCCATAAAAATCCAGTTTCGCTTGAGCCATGGTTGTAGAGGAAGTTAGTTGTAAAGTTTAATTTGATTTGCATTCTAAGTAATGAAATTAATATAATCTCACAAATAACTGTACAAGTATCTTTGTAAATAATCTTCAAGCATAAGAGGCTTAGTCTTGTGTGTTCATGGTAGTATAGACACCGAAGCTAATTGCACATGCTACGATCTTCGTGTTTACAGAAACAGGAAAAATGTTCAACCCCAACTTTTTTTGATGAAAAATGTAGAAACGTGTCAATTTTTCAGTTCAAAATGGCATTTTGTTTTCAAAATTTCCTTCTATTTTATTTTTTTCAAAGTTCAAAAATGTTTAACTGCTCAAAATCAAAATGAAACTTTCATGAGACCAAAACAAATTTTTTTTTTCCAGAATTGTCAGCAAATTGAAAAAAACCTTATGCGCACAGCTCTTTTTACAAACCTTGCGTGGCATTTGGTTACAGATAGGTGTATTTCTGTTTTTAAAAACTGTGTACATAATCACAGGACACACACGTTAAAGTGGAAAACCTAGAGCTATTACTGCCACCACAGATCTGAATTATTCAAGCACAACAAAGTATTAGGCTGGTTAATAAATTATGTTAAAATCCCACTTTCAGTGGTGATTGAACAGGAACAGTTTGACATGTTTCCTTAACAGTATGAACACAACAAACTCATTGACCCTCCAACGAGTTTTGGATGAAGCCTTTTTTAAATTACAGATCGTAAAATTGCGTTGGGACTTTTCTGGTAATCCATATTCTACATGCCAGAAGCTAGATACTTACAATGTCAGATCAATGTTTAGGTCGTAATGCACACCCAAGTCTGATAAACTTATTATGGTATTCCCTAGGAGTTGGTGAGGAAGGATAAAGATGACACCGTGGAGAGTGGGTGTTTTGCCCTAGCCCACGTCCTCCCAATTCAGATAGGGTTAGGTAAGGTTGGAGGAGTGTGACAATATACAATAAACATGGAAGCTCAGCATAGGACTAGACAATTACATACATTTGTTCGGTGTACACCACTGCCAGTGAATACTGCATCAAACTTGTAGCATTTTCTTGCAGCTTCCGCTTCTTACTCGGGACAGACAACTCTTAACCTTACTGCTAAAGAAAACTACCATTGTCTGTTAGTATGACTGGAACTAAAGATGAATAGTGAATTGGCCTTGAGCTAACTGTCAATCTGACTTTGATAGTCCATCACTTAAAAGGTCCTTTTATGTTTATGAAAAAGCATGACGTCAAAGCTATGGAAAAAAATTAATACCAATATTTAGGGCTAAACTTGCATGGCTTCCAAGAAAAGCCCCTTGTGTGAACTGTTTATTTCTCAATGTGCGTAACTAATTAGCTTGGCTTATTATAAGCCTGAGCTGTTGTAGTAAAATTTCTTCCGCCATTTCAGAATAGCTTGTTTATGGTGCATCTGTACATGAGCCTTTGAACTGGAATAACAGAAAATAAAGGATAAATGCTAAGCCATTTCCCTGGTTAAGCTAGGAACATATAAACATGCTGGAAATGCTTGAATATAATCATTATCAGGTGAGTTATCTTATGCTCACTTTACCTGTTAAAAATGATTTGCTGTAGGGGTTGTCTATAGGTGGACCGTGGGCCAAATCCAGACAGCCAGATGCTTTTGAATGGACCCCGACATCTTTTTATTTTATTATTTATTATTAATTATTTTAGAGTCTGAACCTTGACTGTACCTTGACAACGGAATTTGGACCTTGACAAAAATAATTGTCTACCCGTGTGTGTGTGTGTGTGTGTGTGTGTGTGTATATATATATCCTTTTAATCTGTATATTATCTGGTATATTTTATTTGTTTTGTTCCACAAAAAGTAATTAGGGAGATACGATACCTTTTTTTGTAGCTGTTCAGCAACTGAAAATAATTTTATCATAATTAACATTTGAAAGTAATGAGCTTTTTCAGTATGATGTTGTTTCAATTTATCCATTATTTGCTGCTGATAAAAGCAATACTGTTCAGTGTCTGATAAATACAAAATTGATCAAACAGTGGTGAAAATTTTGCTTGGAAGGCTGTTGCCTTTCTTTTATTGCCTACACGGTAGCATAGGCTCATTTCAGCATGAGTGATTTCATTTAAAAATATTCTTAGTGTTAAAAGGCTGCTCTAATATAAATGTTACTATTAATGAAAATGTCTGAGGATACTGAATAGGAAACTAATTTAACTTAGATTTTCAACACTGAAATATTTCTGTTCTGTCATCTGTTATTTCCAGCGCATGTTTTAAAGAGGCTATCCTAGTCTCGCTCAAATTATGCTAAGTATATATAAGCATTAAGTGTTCTATTTGCAAAGGAAAATGTAATTATTAATTTGCTTAATTTTGTTTACATTTGTCATTTGGACTAAAAAATATTTTACTGTTTTTTTCAAAAAACTTGTCAGCTATTTCAAAAAACAGGACTCACTTGACCACTGATCACAGGAGACCAACCTAAATAACTTAATTTTATCACTTAAAATTAACAGAATAGTGGGAAAAACAATCAAATCTGGAATCCTGAATTAAGTTTATGAACTGCAAGTACTGGTACATTAGGAGGCAAATAGACATTTCTTCAGCTATTGTAATTTGCTGAAATGCAATTTATTTCAGTGGTGCGAACACAGATTTGCACTAGCTGAGGATCTGGCCCATGAAGTATATCTGGGATAAACAGGCATCTAGAATAATGTTCTAATGACTCCACAAAACAATAACGCAGTCCTTTTACCCTGTTCTTGCAGGTGCAGACTCACCTTGAAAATCCAACCAAGTACCACATTCAGCAAGCCCAACGGCAGCAGGTAAAGCAGTACCTTTCTACCACTCTAGCAAATAAACATACCAACCAAGCTCTGAGCTTGCCCTGTCCAAACCAGCCTGGTGATCATGTCATGCCACCTGGAACTGGAAGCAGCGCACCGAACAGTCCAATGGCTATGCTTACACTTAACTCCAACTGTGAAAAAGAGGTAAATAATCGTGTCTCTGCTGTGATATTGTCTTATGCTTAATAAAATTCTGACTTATCTTCTGTGAATAAGGTTAAGCCAGAGTCACTCATGATAAAGATCTCAAATTTATCTTCTGTTGTGAAGCGTTGACTTGAAAAATATAACGGTCATTTCTAATATATAAAATATGTATATATCAATATAAAATATTCGGGGTGAAAAATCTGTGGCCCAGTTCAATTTTTTTTAACCTTTGCGCTGCTGTACTCAACTTACACATCTTATTAAAGCCTCTTTTGTGCCTGGTCAATGCACAGAACAGTGAGTAATTGACCTTTGACGAATGCAAAGCCATTTTTGTTGGTTGGTTGTAACTTTCTGGAATAATGCTTTTGTAGCTCATTCAGAGTATAAAGAGTAAAAGGCATTTTTTTTTTTAAAAGAGAGAAAACCACAAACCATTGTGAGGAGAGAATTTTTGAAGTAAAATAAAACTGAAATAACTTTTCACAAAAGCGATCTGTCTATATCTGATTTGTCAGTCCTCCTTGAAGGAAACCTGCACAGTACTTTCAAAAGATAATCCTGGGAGCTTAAATTCATATCTTTATTAAGATTGTGATTTTTAGTGTCTAGTAAAGTCACTGGATTTATGTCTTATTACAACAACCTGTAACCCACTTAACCCCCCTTTCTGTCCTATGACTACAGGGGTATTATCAGGCAACTTCACCTTGAATAGGCCTTTGAAGTATGTGTTAACTGCTTATGCTAAACAATCTGTTTTACCTGATATTTAGCTGGGACACTCTGAATACATTTCCCAGACTGGAGGAAGAGCTCTGTGTAAGCTCAAAAGCTTCTCTCTCTCACCAACAGAAGATGGTCCAATAAAAGATATTAGCTCACCCACCTTGTCTCTCTTTCGAGTTATGAGTTAGTTAGATAGCTTCCCAAAATATCACTGTGTTTATACCCTTTTAAAATATTACTGCTTGGGATTTCAGTCTCAGCCCTCCATTGTGCACATGCAAAATTTCACTTGCATGATGCCTAGAAGTCTTCTGCAGCAGCATTTGCAGCAACAACCTCACTGGTGCTGACGAATGTGTGCCGATGCTAATGCTTATGTACATCTGTAAGTGTAAGACTATCCAGTGCATATAAGTCGACGCGTATTTGTGCACCTGCATAAGTCCAGTGAAGAAGACTCTCTAAAAACAAATTTATCCGGTGCTCCTACTTTGATCGTATATAATAATGCAATGTACATGTCTTCTCAGATTTACTTTTTGCAGCGATCACTTTGCACATGCCAAGAGAGCAGGGCTTTCCCTGTTCTTTTATTCCATTGTTTACATGCTTTAAAATAAATGAAAATAAAATAGCTCCTTCCCATAATCATGATCACACCCCCATTTTGCTTTTTCTCTAGGGAGTTAAAGCTTCACATTGCTGTGTCATCAGGCACATGTGTGCATGACACTGGCTCAACCATGCCTGTCTAGAGGAGAGACTATGCCATAAATCCAGGTCCATGCTTTGCTTTCCCCCCCCCTTTTTTTTATATTCACAGGGATTTTATAAATTTGAAGAGCAAAGCAGGGTGGAGAGCGAGTGCCCGGCTCTGAACACACACACGCGAGCGTCATGCATGCAGGTACTGGATGATACAGGAGTTGGGAGAACAGAACCCTTTATAAAGAGAACCTATGTTTCCCCATGATCACCAATATGGAAACTTACCCCCTACTTTGTAGGGTGTTTTTTTTTTTGTTTGTTTTTGTTTTGTTTTGTTTTTTTTTAAGGATAAGAGTGGCAGAATTACTATATAGAAACCAAATCTGTGGTGTCCTTTTCTATGAGTTTATTTCAAAAGTGCATTAGACGTATATCTGAAAAGGGTTGACCCTTCTTCCACACACCAATCTTAGCCTCTGCATTCTAAATAAGTCTTGGGAAGATTGTTGGAAAGAATGCTCCTGTATGTTGCTCTTTTCATAGGATTTAAGTGGGAAGGAGAAATGCATTCTAATTCTATCCTGTCATTTTATTTAGGATTCATAGATTCATAGATTCATAGATTCTAGGACTGGAAGGGACCTCGAGAGGTCATCGAGTCCAGTCCCCTGCCCGCATGGCAGGACCAAATACCATCTAGACCATCCCTGATAGACACTTATCTAACCTACTCTTAAATATCTCCAGAGATGGAGATTCCACAACCTCCCTAGGCAATCTATTCCAGTGTTTAACCACCCTGACAGTTAGGAACTTTTTCCTAATGTCCAACCTAGACCTCCCTTGCTGCAGTTTAAGCCCATTGCTTCTTGTTCTATCCTCAGAGGCTAAGGTGAACAAGTTTTCTCCCTCCTCCTTATGACACCCTTTTAGATACCTGAAAACTGCTATCATGTCCCCTCTGTCTTCTCTTTTCCAAACTAAACAAACCCAATTCTTTCAGCCTTCCTTCATAGGTCATGTTCTCAAGACCTTTAATCATTCTTGTTGCTCTTCTCTGGACCCTTTCCAATTTCTCCACATCTTTCTTGAAATGCGGTGCCCAGAACTGGACACAATACTCCAGCTGAGGCCTAACCAGAGCAGAGTAGAGCGGAAGAATGACTTCTCGTGTCTTGCTCACAACACACCTGTTAATACATCCCAGAATCAGGTTTGCTTTTTTTGCAACAGCATCACACTGTTGACTCATATTTAGCTTGTGGTCCACTATAACCCCTTTCTGCCGTACTCCTTCCTAGACAGTCTCTTCCCATTCTGTATGTGTGAAACTGATTTTTTCTTCCTAAGTGGAGCACTTTGCATTTGTCTTTGTTAAACTTCATCCTGTTTAACTCAGACCATTTCTCCAATTTGTCCAGATCATTTTGAATTATGACCCTGTCCTCCAAAGCAGTTGCAATCCCTCCCAGTTTGGTATCATCCGCAAACTTAATAAGCGTACTTTCTATGCCAATATCTAAGTCGTTAATGAAGATATTGAACAGAGCCGGTCCCAAAACAGACCCCTGCGGAACCCCACTCGTTATGCCTTTCCAGCAGGATTGGGAACCATTAATAACAACTCTCTGAGTACGGTTATCCAGCCAGTTACGCACCCACCTTATAGTAGCCCCAGTTGAATCACCCTCTTTCTATGGAGATTACATTCAGATTTGATAATGTGAGATGAGGTAGTTTAATATTTCCTTATTAGCATAGGGATATATGGGTCAAGGATATGAATTCTCACTCCCCTGCAAAAATGGTGTCTAGTATATAGCCTGTAATTGCTACAGTGTCTCTTTGTTACTATATTTTCCTCTCTGGACTCCCTGCTCTGTTGAGCTGGTTTGGAAACTGCATCTGCTATGAAAAGCAGCAGAGGGTCCTGTGGCACCTTTAAGACTAACAGAAGTATCGGCGCATAAGCTTTCGTGGGTGAGTGCCCACTTCATCAGACGCAAAGCTTATGCTCCAATACTTCTGTTAGTCTTAAAGGTGCCACAGGACCCTCTGTTGTTTTTTTACAGATTCAGACTAACACGGCTACCCCTCTGATACTCATCTCCTATGAGTCGCCCATGGAAATAGCTGCCAATAGAGAAATATCAGGGATGTGAACCAGTTGGATTCCACCAGAGATGGAGGCAACCGTTTCAAGGACAAACTTTTGAAATCCTTGGCAATGGTGATAGGCAAGAAAGTGAAATACAAGGGTTAGGAGAGGAGAGAAGGAAAGATGAGGAGAGGAGGTTGGAAAGAAGAAACAGATGAGGACCAGGAAGGAAGGTTCATATTAGTCCCACAACTCTTTCATAAAGTTATATGCCAGTTTTAAAAAACTCACAGAAGCTAGTCTCAAATTATGTATGTGTTTTGCTGATAGTGTTTGAATAGACTTCTGTTTCCATCCTCTCCAGTGCACATGCCATCACGGTTTACTGCTATCTCTGATTTTATGGTACTCCAGAAAAAAAAAAAAGCTTGTGGGGCTGTCAGTTACAAAGCTGTATTTCAAACCTCACTCTGATCAAAGTCCCTGGGAATACAAATGCTGGCCATTATACAAGAATGGACTCTCTGAAGTTGCCACCAGAAACCATTCTGAAATGTGTAGAATTGCCACGCTGGTTGGTGGCACTGGAGACAGTGCCCTTTTCTTTGCCCTACGCCTCCCAAACCCACCTACTTGTGGCACATTTGGTCTTGATATGCTTGGCAACTCAATGTTGACTCCTCCTGCTGATTAAAGAATGTCATTGATGATATCTGAAGGCAGCTTACCCACTCCTGGGATTGGAGAGTAGTGATTATCACTGGGAGACAGAATTGGAGTATGGCAAAAATGCATAGGTTTCAGGGTCCAACAGAGACAGAACTAATGAGGAGGGCTGTATGCATTGCTGGGTCTCTCTTTAATTTTTAAATATTACTATTGTGTACAACCCTGTTACAAACGCAGTTTCAAGTTATTTGCATTTTTCCCCATTCACCTTTCTGTTGCAGATGGATGATGTAATTGACGACATAATTAGCTTGGAATCCAGTTATAATGAAGAAATCCTTGGACTGATGGATCCTGCCATGCAAATGGCAAATACGGTACAATGGTCCTTTCTTTTCCATTATAGTGACTGCTAGGCGTCCTCGTCTAGCTACATCTAAATCACCTCCGCTTTAGAATAGCTTTTAGTGTGAAATCACAGCACAGCACATTTTGCTAACCACCGTCTCTAGTGGTTAGGTAGATGATATAATGATTATTAAGAATTTACACTGGAAAGCAACAGGGTGGAACTTGGTTTAAAAAAATTAGCAATTGCTGTGGGACAGCAGTTACAAGGGGTTGGATTTTGGTATAGCCACAACCATCTGTGTTGGAGTCATATTTAGGGGGTTCCTGGGCTAGTTGCAAGGGGAGGAGATTTTTCCCCTCACCCCTAGTGGGAGGTCATCATGGTACCTGGCCCAGTCTCCAATTAGCAAAGGTTAAGCTCATTTCACCTAGTCTTCTCCTTACACTGTGAGATGGAGCTAGCCCAGGGAAGTTAAATTCAGCCTGGGGAATCAGCAGCCCAGATGTAAAGATCCCTGTGCCCCTACATCCGTACATAGCTTTACATCAGGTGCAAGGTAAGCAGATAGGTTTAAACCTGGTATATGTCTATTTGTACCCACATGCAAAACTGCACAGGTTTAACCAAATGAGTTTAACCTCACACCTTTAGTTTAAACCAGTGTAACTTCTATGTGTAGACAAGAGACAAGACATCTCTTTCTAGATGAGGGAGAGGTTGGCAAGAGGGTAGAAAAATAACACAAGGGAGTAAAGAAAATGACAGCTTAAGAAAGAGAGGAAAGAGAAAAGGGAGCTCAGAAAACCAGAGAGGAGAAAGGAGGGATGTGTGAGATGGAAGAGACACCAATAAATTGTTTGCGTAGGGTATCAGTGCTATTAAGTCTGACACGGTAGAACTGAGTCAGTTGATATTAGTTTGTTTTTTATTTAATTCCAGAATTAACAGCTAACTCTCAAGGGACTTACTGGCATTAGTTGCCATCTCTTTATAATACCTGCTTGATGCTATACAGCCTAGCCCTTTCTTCCCAGAAAATCCCACACCTATCCTAGGGACACACTCTGAGCTTGTGTGCTCCACTGCAGAAGCTCTAGTTCTATCCCTCATAGAAAAGTTCTCTAGATTATAAAAATAACTTTTAAATCGGTGTTTTGAGCCACAGGGATAGAATTCACTCCTAAATTTCATAGCGTGATTCAAAATGCACATCTCTGCTGTGGAATTCTATAGGATGGTTTTAAAAAATTCCTACTAAATCCCATAGAACCTTTCCATAAGTGATTCCTACATTTCTCCTCCCCATGCCCTTTCACAGGGACCCCTGATGTGGGAACTCTGCACCCCCAGAAAGGCACCCAGTGCTTTTCTGTGCTGCTTTAGTGGGGAACCCTTTCAGTTGCCCCATGTGCATCCATGCTCCCAGTAACAACACAATAGGCACATATGCCAGCAGTTACAGTTCACAGCTGTAATGGAGACCTCCAAACCCTCATGCTCTCTGATCTGCCACTCCCTCCCTTCTGCTCCCATGACCTTTCTCATCAGCTGGTGAGACCTGTGATTTAAATGAAATGAGAGTGAACTTTAAAGTCCAATACTATTGCATTGTTCATGGTTATTTATTCAGTTTCCAGTATAAGTAGCTTTAAATAGCATTAGGAAAAACTCTGTCCGTTGGATTAATTTGATCAATTACTTAAAAAAAGGATGCAGGCTTTCTACACTTTGCTGTATACTGAGATATTATAATATGATTGGCAACATCTGGGCTTCTTCGTGTCATCAAAGTAAAACTGCATTGGCTAGGAAGCTTATCCCACTCTCCCCAGTAAACTTCAAGCCAGTGCTCTTCTCCAGCAACAAGAAAAACCATATCACGTATCTTGTTGCAATTACTGTTCAAATAGTTTGATCCTGCTCCTATTGAAGTAATGGGAATTTTGCCATTGTGAGCAGGATTGGGTCCTTAGAACTTACTCTGTCTTGCTGTAACATTGTAAAACATCTGTAGGCTTACTATTGATTTAACTACGAGGTGAAAGAACATGGAAAGGAAGCAGTCCTCAGAGACTCTCAATCTATAAATAGCTCCGCTCAGCTTAGACCATAACAAAGGCTTTGTTGTTCTGTTAGAAACAAAAAAGAAAAGGCCCAGTTTGCCCCATGTGGTAACAGTGCAGCAAATGTGAAAAATCAGGACAGTGGGTGGGGGGTAATAGGAGCCTATATAAGAAAAAGACCCCAAAATCAGGACTGTTCCTATAAAATCGGGACATCTGGTCACCCTAAGTGCACTTGACTTTCAAAATAGAAGATCTATAGTGAGAGAGTGCTAATGGGAGGTTCAAGCACCACTTAATTGAAAAGCATCAGGCTTTTTGCAATAAATTACAGCACGAGCCCTTCGCTGCCGAAGACCTGTCTTCTCACTTGTGACCAAAACTCAAGTGTGATGTATTTGATCTGAGTAAGAAACATAACAAAGGCCACTTCCTACTTGCAGTCTGCTTGGAAGTGACCCAGCAGCAGAATAGCTGGGGTATTGTACCTAATGCTTAGCTCTTATACAAATTAGGTTTAAAAAGCGGAGCCGGGTGGGGAAGTTTAACTGCAAACTCACCAAAACCAACGAAGCTTAAGCAAAATTCCGAAATGGAATGGAATGCTTCCTGAACGTTTAGCCTGACTTCCTTTAAAAGTAATGCTCTTTCAGATGTGGTGTTAAGTCAAGATAAGTGTCTAGAATTAGGTCGACTGTCTTCCTGCCACAATCATCCCTTAGATGGGGGTGGTTCAGAGCAATGGTTTGCATACTGTAAGAGCAGAGACATCAGAATATGTGCTAGCAGGCCTCACTTTTTCAGAGGCTTGTAACTTGGCCAAGTTTGAGTGGGGTTTCCCGGGCACAGCAGAAGGCACATCCCTGACACTAGAGACTCAACTGTCAAATTTCAAGTTTGTTCTCCAAAGCATTGAGGCACTACAGCTTATCATTACGTCTGAAACAGTTGTAAGAAGTTTTGAACGTGAGCAAAGCAACGTATTTTCCCTCCAAATCTTGTACCCAAACAAATTCAGCCTGAGGCAGACACCTGGTATGGAAAATTGGAGCAACTGAAAACATGATCCGGTAATAGGAAATGCTCAGCAATCTTAACTCTAGGCATTGCTACCAGTGCACATATAATAAGTAGCTCCTGTTTGCCTATAATAAGCAACCTCTGCTCGATGTTCTAGCCTAACGAGCTTTTGCGTGTTAACAGCGCTGCCTACAGGTTACACAGTTGTAACTGAGAGAAAATAGATAGAAATAACTAGGTGTACTCCAATTCTACTTTCCTCACTCATATATATCATACTGCGTGTAAAAACAGCTGGTGCATTATGTATTCCCTATGTCCCCACATTAGGGTTGCAAACTTTCTAATTGCACAAAACCGAACACCCTTGTCCCGCCCCTGCCCCGTTCCTTCTCTGAGGCCCCAGCCCCACTCACTCCACACACACCCCTTCCTCCATCAGTCACTCTCCCCACTTTCACTCACTTTCGCTGGCGTGTGGGAGGGGGTTAAGGCTCCGGCTGGGGGTGCAGGCTCTGGGATGGGGCCAGGGATGAGGGATTTGGAGTGCAGGAGCAGGCTCAGGGGTGGGGCAGGGATTTGGGGTGCGGGAGCGGGTCTGGGCTCTAGGGTGGGGCCAGGGATGAGTGGTTTGGGGTGCAGGAGGGGGCTCAGGACTGGGGCAGGGGGTTGGAGTGCGGGAGGGTGTGTGGGCTATGGGAGAGAGTTTGGGTGTGTTGGAGGGGGGCTCAGGACTGGGGTTGGGATGTGGGAGGGGGTACAGCTCCAGGAGGGCGTTTGGGTGTGGGAGGGGGTTCATGGGTGGGGCAGGGGGTTGGGGTGCAGGAGGGGGTGTGGGGTATGGGCTCCAGGAGGAGGTTCAGGGCTGGGGCAGGGGGTTGGGATGCGGGCTTTGAGAGGGAGTTAAGTTGCGGGGGGGGGGGGGGTTCCGACCCGGGGGGGGGGGGGGGGGGGGGGGGGCGGGGTTGGGGGGCGGTGCTTACCTGAGGCAGCACCTGGTTGGCGGCACAGCAAGGCTAAGGCAGGCTCCCAGGCTGCCCTGGCTCCATGCGGCTCCCGGAAGCAGCAGCATGTCTAGTTCCTAGGCTCGGGGTGCAGGCAGCACACCCACAGGCACTGCTTCTGCAGCTCCCATTGGCTGTGGCTCACGGCCAATGGAAGCTGTGGGGGCAACATGGAGCCTCCCTGGGTCCCCCCTGCGCTGCTAGGAGCCAGACATGCCGCTGCTTCCGGGAGTCGTGCGGAGCCAGGGCAGGCAGGGAGCCTGCCTTAGCCCCACCGCACCGCTGACCGGACTTTTAACGGACGCCTCATAACCGTACCCTGCATGCTTAGGGGAGTTGGATGTAGTTAGGTTAAGACTCTTGGTGTCACTTTTGACTCGATATTTCTCCAATAAGCCCCTGTGCCCCAACGTTTATCAGTTGCACAATTTGTGCAGCCTGCATCCTCTCCTGCCACATGGTGACTTCACATCATTAACATGAGGTCATGTGACCATAAGGCTCCATTTATTGCCGATTCCTCCTAGCAAGCCTTCTCAGGTACTTGGAACTCCTGCAGAATGCAATGGCACTTTAACTCCGTGATTTGAGACACCCTGGCCCATATAATGCAAAAAAGTGTGGAAACCTCCCCCACCCACCTGTGTGTTTTTCATGTTAGAACAGGAAAATCCCAAATCCAGGTAGGTCTATACTATGCAGGCAGCTCTCAGGTCAACTAAATACAGTTGGCTTAAACAAGTCCACATTACATGAATGTGTAATTCATTTCTGTTAGGCAATGTCACTTCTTTAACATTTATGGGAGAGTTTGGGCTCCCTCTTATGGTTACATGTTAAACTTTAAAGGCTTTTTTTCCTTTTTTCCCCAATACAAGTATAGTCAGTTTTTTTAAACTAACTCTACAGGAACAATATCATAACATATGAAAAATCTAGTTAGTTCTTATGCAGAGGTCCTTCGTAGCCTGGAAAGTGAAGTTCCTTGGCATCCGTATGGCATTGTCTATATATTCTGTATCATCCTTTGCTTTCTGTGTCTTCTGGGATCTCGCCTTTGAGAAAGGATTGCAGAGTAGTTATTTTTCATGTCCAGGCACATTTTCACTAGTGATGTTGAGCTCCCTGTATGCGCATGGAGCCGAGAACAGTTTTCTTAGCAAATGTTGGCTTTGTTCAAGTGTTTCAGATGGGACACAGAAGTGACCCTTCTCCCTTTTATCTTTTCCAGTTACCCGTATCTGGCAATTTGATTGACCTTTATGGCAACCAAGGCATGCCTCCTTCAGGGCTGAACATCAGCAACTCGTGTCCAGCTAATCTTCCTAATATAAAAAGGGAGCTCACAGGTAAATGATCTTAAAACGTTATCACTTGAAATGATTTGACATGAGGGTTTCCTTTTTTAAGAGATGTTTTTGAAAATGCAGTTATGCAAAGGGAAATTTGGAGGTGCTGGATTCTCCAGTTTGCTGTACATTTCCTAGCAGGCCTGTTGGCTTCCACTACACAGCCCGTGAGGGGTTAGTTTCCTTTCCGTAGATATGTAATCAGTTTGCTTTGTAACAAACAAGGACAGTACCATAATACGTGGAAATCCAAGGGTTTTCATAATCAACCTGCAGAGTAAAACCCTGCAGCATTTAAGATAGAAAGCTCTTTGCATCTCTTATATAGCTACTCTCTAGATTGGATCTATTAGATGCTGCTCCGGCTATAGGTGAAATAGCAACTTGAATTAACATGATGCTTCTCAAGAGACTTCACGGAGAAGAATACTGTATGTAGTGACTCTGCCAATGGGGGTGATTATTAATAAGAAGAAAATAATTTGAAATACTGTGGGATCCTATAACAAGTGTCAAATTACCCCTTGCTGCTGCATTTAGGTGGTTAGGTATTGAGGAATGAATGGATATTTACTCATTTAAATCATAATAAAGGTTAAGAATCTTCCAAGAATCTCATCACCTAAGTCCTAAAACAGCCTTTCCTTACATATGAACAGTGCTCGGATCCCAAACGTTTAGATGCATTAGGAAGTAACAGATGGATAAAATCACTTTCCGTTGCAGCTCCAAGGGAAAGAACATATATTTAAAAAAGACATGAGTTTAAAAAAGCAATAACCCAAAAACCTATTCAACTGTTTAAAATACAAATGTATGCAGAAGCGCAAACTAGAGTGAAACTTTAAGACTGGGGGTGTGTTTTAGAGACGGGAAAGCTGGTATTCTTTGAGGCACCTCTCGGTGTCTTCGTTTCACTTTCATTTTGGGAATGAGGCAAAATAGCAGCTAGCCACATTTAGGGGATAGTTCAGCCCACTTATTAAGTACACCTTATGCCCATGTAAAACTGGCTTTAAGTACATGACCAGTTCCTCTTAACAAGAGACATACTCTAAGGACGATTTGGGGATGAAACCTTCAGCAGACATGCTAGAGGCATAGTTTCTTGGCTGCCTACGTTCTTACCTATTTGCTAGGTTGGCGTCCTGCAGTCTCACAAGCTCACTGAACTAAACCATAGACCAAACTAAACCATTGGGCAGCAGCGAGCTCCAATGTACTCCTTGAGCAGTTCTGCACGTGCTGACTCTTCTGGCGGGAGTCCTCCCTCTGTGCCAGCGCCAAGCCATTGGCACCGGCGTTTGCTTTCTGACATGTGGTCACGCCACATAAACAAAGGCTGTTGTGGCTGATAAAATGGTCGCTTGCCTTGGAAGGCCATTAGGATTGCACTAGAAGTGTAGAGATGCTTTAAAAAGGGGTGCTACTCCAAAAGCCCTTTGCGAAAGTAGTCTGATTGAAGACCATAGCAACCAGGCACAGGATGTTCCACAATGGCGGAAAGTTAGCTGAGCCTCTGGATGCAAGCTAAGCACACAGCCTGAGGGAATACATAGGAAAGCAGCCAGACTGGCAGATGCACAGTACAAGGTTGTGTAAGACTTGGGACATAGGTGCCAACTTTTCCCGGCACAGGTGGGTGCTCAGCCCGCCCTGACTCCGCCCCCTGCCCTGCCCCCATTCCAACCCCTTCCCCAAAGTCCCCGCCCCAGCTCCGCCCCCTCCCTGCCCCTATTGGACTCCTTCCCTAACTCCTCGGCCCGGCCCCACCTCTTCCCCGAGCGTGCTGCGTTCCCCCTCCCTCCCAGCGCTTGCCGCCGCGAAACAGCTGTTTCGCAGGAGCAAGCACTGGGAGCTGGGGGAGAAGTGGGCCGCGCGGCACGCTCAAGGGTGGAGGTGGAGCGGAAGCGGAGGTGAGCTGAGGCGGGAAGCTGCCGGTGGGTGCAGGGCTCCCACCAATTTTTCCCCGTGGGTGCTCCAGCCCCGGAGCACCCACGGAGTCGGCGCCTATGACTTGGGATATAAAGCAAAAAAAAAACCTGTGAATGAGTAATGCTCTTTCAGATGTGGTGTTAAGTCAAGATAAGTGTCTGGAATTAGGTCGGCTGTCTTCCTGCCACAATCATCTCTTAGATGGGGGTGGTTCAGAGCAATGGTTTGCATACTGTAAGAGCAGAGACATCAGAATATGTGCTAGCAGGTCATATGCAGGGACTAGCTTCCTGGGTGTGGACAGTGCCTCACATCTTATGTATGGTACCAGAATGCATCTAAAAATATGGAAGCATCTGAAGAATTTCCCTTTAAAAAGCAATACTCTTGATGTCGTGTGGGATGGGGGTGTATCAGTTCAAATCAGAAAGTAGTGTTTTCCTTGAGGAGATCTGTTGTTGTAAATGAGGATTTCGTTGTCCCCAGTGTGGACACAGACACAGAATTCTGATCTCTGCATCCTCAGGGTAGAAAAGCCTTTTGCTCTCCCATAACTGAGGTCTGGAAGTACGGTTGTATTGAGAACATCATAATCCCTTTTCTGTGTTCAGGAAAACACATCATGATCTGCGGTAGAGCTGCTTCTTACTTGTTTTGTATTGTGTTCCCATGTGATGAGTAAAATTATTTGTGCTGCAACAGAAATATGTGTAATTGCAGATTTAAAGTGTTTTTAAGCATATTTTTCACACCACCTTTCCTTGTGGGATTTAAACCCTTTGCTTGTCTGCACACTATGGCTGAGAGGTTCAAATCCAGTGGAAGAATCTCACCCTGTTTCTAGGTGGCTATGCAGATGCCTCCTTAGAACTTTTGAGTTAACTTCTTCCCTGTTGTAACTCCAATGGAGTCAATATATTTTACTCAGGGATGGATTTCACCTATTGCTTCTAAAGAACTGAACATTTTTTTTTCTATAATGCTTGGATAATTCTTGCACTGCTGTAAGCACATTGTTGTGTCTTAGCATTGTGCTTAGGTACCTTGCTGAAATAGGTCCCTTCTCTTCTCTTAGGCTTGGCCTACACTTAAAGTTAGGTTGACCTAGCAATGTGAATCAGGGGTGTGAAAAAACACACCCCTCACTGACACAGTTATGTAGCCCTAACCCCCAATATAGGCACAGCTGTGTCAATGGAATGGTGCTTCCATCGTCGTAGTTATCATCATTGGGGAGGCGGTATTTCCACATGGATGGAAAAACCCTTTCTGTCTCTGTAGGCCTCCTCTACGCCAGGGGTTCTCAAACTTTTTTTGCTGAGCCCCTCTTTGAAAATATTTCAGGCTCTGACGATCCCCCTCCCCGCCCCCCCGCCCCCAAATTACTGTACATACTCAGAGGAGCACTAAATGAAGCATGTAATCGCTATCCCTGCAGTCAAAGGCACTGAAGCCTCTCAAAAAGTGAAAAGCAACAGTATGGTATTGCCACCCTTACTTCTGGCAGCAGAACAGTCTTCAGAGCTGGGTAGCGGGAGACTGGCAGCTGCTGTACCCACCCCCCTTCCAGCTCCCCTCCCCCAGCAGTGTCCTCTATTTGGGAACTTAAAGTATGGTAACCCGAGTGAAGGATCGAAAGGTTATCCCAATATTTTTTGTGATCTGATGACCCCCATGCAATTGCTTTGTGATCCCCTTTTGGGTTGGGACCGCCAGTTTGAGGAACGCTGGATGGGGTTATGTCAGCAAAGCTACAGCGATGTAGCTGTGTTACTATGGTCTCTGTAGTGAGGCATATCCCTAGTGATAAAATAAATGACATCAGAAATATGGATGTGCTGTATAAATTGCTATGTTGTACTCCTTGAATTTCCAAAATTCTAATGACTTCATTCACGTGCACAGCGTGTATTTTTCCTACAGAGTCAGAAGCAAGGGCGATGGCTAAAGAGAGGCAGAAGAAAGACAATCACAACTTAAGTAAGTTTGATTATGCTCAGTATACAATATTTCCTTAATTTTTTAGTTGATGACCCACAGTGACAAGTAAGTTACACAGATGATTATTAAGGATTTAATTATTTTTAAAAAGGCGTTGGAATGCAGGCTGCTTAAAGCTTTGGGTGGTTTACTGTGCAGTACTTACACCACTTTATTGGTTATAGCCAATGATCGAATATCCCAAATTCGCTCATATTGATTGCTGAAACTCGCTATTGAATTGAAAACAATATTTTTTTAAAACAATTATTTGAGAACAATTTTTTAAACTTATGAGAATATGATCCAAATTCTGAATTCAAAGGGGTTTCACCTGCACTGGTATAACTGAGAGTAGAATGTGGCCAGTTGCCTTTGACAAATACACCATACAAAATTTTACCAAAATTTGTAGTTTAAACGAAAACTTAATGTATGCAATCAATTCATGTATCTCTTCTTTAAACTTGTGTGCATATATTTTTTTATTATTATTGTTTTTTTTAAGGAGCATACTTTTATATTTGCCAACCAAGAATACACGTGTTTTACTAACTTTAAAATTCTAAAAGGACGCTTTAGGATCCTTTGTTTCTTGTTTTTAGAAATGATATAATCTCATGCCTCTTGTTAGAAAACAGAACTCCCCATTGGTTTCAATAGCAAGGTCTCCTTGATGGCACAGTATGGTTTAAGATTTTTAAATTGGATCATGTAGTGTTTTGAGGAAGTATGGCAAAGTACTTAAAGAATGAGCCTGGGACTCAGAACCTTAGGTCTTTTTCTGCCTTTCCACTGACAAACTGGATGTCCTTGGACAAATCACTCAGTTTCTGTGTCTTAATTTATCCAGTTGAAAAGTGGGTATAAGACTTACTTCACTTAAGCTTTATAACATACTTGTGATACAGGTATCAAGTATACATGTATGTATAAAGCATAAAGTGTTTTTGAAATCTTTAAGTTAAAGGGGTTTCATTCTGTAAGCAGAAAGCATTATTTTTACTAATGTATATTTCTTTGTTATTTTCCTAAAGTTGAACGAAGGAGAAGATTTAATATTAACGATCGCATTAAAGAATTAGGCACGTTGATACCAAAATCAAATGACCCGTAAGTATGGTACTGTCTCTTGGTAATGATGATGTGTGAATTTTTGTTTAAATGTCTTAAGTGCCTTTGTGCTCAATAGCTTACTATACTTTGGGAGTACATTAAGCTAAACCACTGAAGGGCAGTCTGGGCACCCAGTAAGAGTGTCCACGTGGACAGTTAGTGTGGAGTAGTTAGTGTGCTTGAAATTCACACCCTAGTTTGTTGTGCACTAATACCCCTGTGTAGACAAACCCCTGTAAGGCCACACCACTGAGTCTCTTCACAGTAACTGAAATCTTTTAAAGATTTTGAATAATTTGTGTTTGATCCTCCTGGAAGTTTGTGTAGATGGTGTATCTTAATGAACCGTATCAGGCAATGAGTTCGCCTTTGCAGAAGCACTATTCTGGCCCGCAGGAACTTGGCTGCAGTTGTGTCAGTGAGCACCCAGTGTACTGCCCCGCCCTTTCAGAAAACAGAAAAAACAAAATGTTGCTTCTTCCCGGTTCTCCACATCATTGACTACAAACTTGCCACAAGCACACCCCGGCTTGCACATCCATGCAGAAATAGCTTTATTAAGTAATTTACTATAGTTAATTTACCATAGCTAGGATAAAAATATATAAGGGATATGAAACCTTCATGTTCCAGGATGAAAGCCAATCACTAAAGGCCTGAATCAGTGCCCATTGAAGTCAGTGGGCGTATTATCATTGATTCAGTGGATGTCTGATCATGTGCTTCACACTAACTGCCTTGGGTAGGAGGAAACTTTCCTCCTGGCATGTTGGCACATAACTGTTCCCCATGGAGGTTTTATATCTTCCTCTGATACTGGCCACTATGGGATAAGATACTGGACCAAGTGGACCATTGCTCTGATTGGTCTGGCAATTCAAATGGAAAATAATACTGCTCCCAAGCGGATAGTCCTCTCAAGTCAAAAAACGGGAAACAAGGCTGGTGCTTACCTCCTGTTCTAGTACCTGAATTGGGAGTTCCTGGTCTCTGATGCAGAACCCAGAACAGGATTCCTGCTGGCTGCTGAGCTGAGCCAGATGCTTTCCATGTTCCAATGGACCTAAATCTTATCTTGACATGCTTATACTCCCACCATCCACAGAAGGGCAAACCCACATAAGTACCGTCATGATGGGCTTAGACGGGGGTTAAAATATCTGCACATTCCAGTACAATGCCTTCAAGCAATCTATGTATCCTAACCCTCTTGCGAGGACCAGGCACCAGAGGTATTAATTAGGCCTTGTCTACATGGGGGGAACTGACTGGCATAGCTGCTCTGCAAAAACTCCTCCATGTGGACACTACTCCCAAATAAAAGTGATTTTATTCCAGAATAATTACTCCACTTCAGAAGAATAGCAATTCCAGATTAGAAGTATCTCTATTCTGGATTGGGTGTCCACACAGGGAGCTATTCTGGAATAGCTATCGCAGAATAGCTTTTCCAGCAGTAGTTATGCCAGTCAATTTCTCCATGTAAAGAATCCCTTATACAGTGTCTCTTGCAATTTTTAGAAGAGTATTGTGAAGTACACCCCTTACAGCAAGGACTTAATTGTGAGCACTGCCAATGTATTCCCCTAGATCGAAGCCCTGTTCAGCAGATGGATGTGAACCTGAAGAGTAGGCATTTGCCTCAATTCCTGGTCAGCCCATTTAGAAAGAGAGGTCCTTGGGGTGGCTGCCATTCCTCAAGTAGGCTTATCCTTGCATTGAGATCGCTTGAAAAATCTACCAGCTGTACATAAAGCAATTATCTGACCCCTTGGGCTCATTAATGATCCCAGAGCATTTTTCATAAGGGTGAAGGTGTTAATCCTGGTGTCTTGACCAAACTCCAGTTGGGGTGATGGAAGTGAGCAGGCACTTTATCCAAGGAGCGCAGGATTTGGGCCATTTGTACTTTGAAATCTCTTCTGCTCTCCACTAGCAATAAAGCTTTATCAGTATGTGCTAGTATCAAAACTGGAAAGTTATTGTTCCCTCCAGAGGAAAATTGATGGAGTAACTTGATTAACCCATATTTCTTGAGATGATGACCTACATCCATTTTACATTGCCACAAAAACTCATTATACACAACAGTTCTTGATTCTTCATGAATGATCGCCAAGAAGAAATCTGTCGGTTCACCTTTCACTCTGTTAACATTTTTGCTACAGAGATAGGATAATCTAGAGACTGCGCATTTGCTTTTGCTATCCTGAAAATTGAAAATAATATTCTATATTTCTTTCTTCGTAAGTTTCTCAGTGCCATGGACTAAATAAATAAAGCAGGTGCTAGGTCTGGGCATTAGCTACATAAGCATTTATCAAGTGGTTTGATATATTGCTTGAAACCAATTAATCAGAAGAGCAAAGATCAGTACATTGAAGTTCGTAAAGGATGCACTGAATAGCAGGAAAATACACTTGTCTGTCTCTTTAACAGCTTTAAAAAAAAAACAAAAAAACATTTCCTTCCAGCACTATTAATTGGTCTTTGTCTCCCACATTACACACAATGTCTCTTCCTCCTTCCCTACTAAGAAATCCCTGGAAAATGCACCCTCGGATGCATCATTAATCAGTTGTGTTTGATTCTGTGCCAACATGTTAGATCTGAGCCTTGCTACTGTGTATACATTTTAATAGCTTGGTGGTGTGATAAGACCCTACCAGGAAAAATTGGGCCCTAATCAGTGTAAATGGGAACAGATACTTCCCAATGAAACCTTTTAATTCTAGTGTCTTGCCAGCCAAGGTAGGACTCCATAGGGGAGGCTGTTTGTGCGTGCGCTCTTCCATGAGCAAAGGAGTAGCATGCATTCCTAGCTAACACATGAATTCTGTGTGCTGGCTGGCTGGAGGGTTCACCACACCCCCTAATCAGCTGCACACCCACCTAGCATGGGTATAAATAGCCACATAGATGGTGTGGCTTAAGTGAGCCGAGTAGAACCCCCAAGGTTTATACCCTACATGGCTTTCTACACGTCCAAGCAATGCCTCCCACGTCCGTACTGCTGTTTTTGACAGTGTAGTGTCCCGCTGCCTCACTGTTGCTGGAGCCTTTCCCCGCCACAGTGAAAGGCTTTTGTAGTGGGGAAAGAGCCTGACAGCAGGGAGGTGGCAGTGAAAGGCTCTGGCCAGAGGAAAGGCTCTGCCCTGCCAGAGCCTTTCCCTACTTTGTGTAGCTACACGCTGCAGTGACAAGTGTGGACGCAGCCTGCCTTCCCCTGCTGTGTGTAGCTACATGTGTAGGGCCTGTACTTTACATGGTGCCATAAATGTAGACATACCCACTCAGAGGCTATGTTAGTGGCTCAAAAGAGCCTAGGAGTCCTGCCCTGAGACTGCATAGGAGGGTGTCCAAGGCTCCCATGCCCTTTTCTCCCACTCAATAACACATCTTTGCAGTCCAGGACTAGAGTTGGCCATTAGTGAATGGGAGTTTAACTATGTTGTTCAAAGATCAAAGTTGAAATCCAGCATTGCTCATTCAGAGGGGGGTACGACGAGGGGTAGTCAAGCAGCCTCACAGACGTCATTGAAAGCTGAGTGAGTCCTCTCATCTTTAGCCATTCTGTCCCTTGGCACTAATGCACTAGTATGAGTTGTGTGCGAAACACGACTCCTTGAGTACTGCAATTTCCCATCCCTGCAGTTTCATTCCCATGAGAAAGCAATGGTGCACATGTCTCCTCTTCAGTAATTTCGTGAATCCAAATCCCGTACAGTAGGCTGCCTGCTAATGAGTTGCCCTCTGGCTCCCCCTAGTGTATTTCACACAGCTCTTTTCAAAGTCGATAGTTTGTAATACTGTAATTCTGATCAGGTGTGGTGTAACTTGTGTGCTGTTAAACGCTGCTGCGGTTCTGCTCTATGCTTTGGCTTGATCCATGTGCTTGGGTGAGAGAGTGATTTTTTTTCCCCCCCCCAAACAATATTTTACAGGGACATGCGCTGGAATAAGGGCACTATTTTAAAAGCGTCAGTGGACTATATCCGCAAACTGCAGCGAGAACAACAACGCACAAAAGAACTTGAGAACAGGCAGAAGAAACTAGAACATGCCAACAGACATCTACTGCTCAGAATACAGGTTTGCTGATACATACATTATGAATGAATTTAACAGCTGTATGTATGTATATTATTCACATCTATTTGCTACAAGGAAACACCAGCTTACTATGTAACTTAGAGGGAGCCATTGTGCTGGTCCTGCAATACCTATGATTAATGCTGAGTTGAACTTGTAGAGTTCTTGGTCCTCCAGTTACCAGAGGAGACAAGCTATGTTGTAGGAGGAACTTTAAAAAGTGAGATGCTTCTGGATAGCAGATAATTCTCTAGCCTTTTTGTAAAGCAGTTGTAGTTTAGTGTCTCTCTGCTCCCACTGGTGTCTCTCTGCTCTCACCACACAACTCTAAGCACTTCAAACTACACTGGGCATTATTAGGTTGTAGATGCAGATAAGGAGTCTAGTCCTGCTCTCACTGAAGGCAGAGAAAGATTTGGCATTGACTCCAATAAGAGCAGGATGAGACCCAAGGTGCCATATTCTGTATGGAGCAATTGTCAATATGGTCAAGTTAGTTCAAATGCTTTTTGACTCAAGACTGCTAATGGTTTTCCACTCACATGACACTGCTTCCTAAACAGAGCAGTTGAGTAGAATGATGTTCTACCAATTCACACGGAGCGCCAACGCTAGGCACAGGCTGTCCCAGAGATCTGCAGATAGCGGGAGTCCTCCATGCAAGGTTGTCTCCCTGCCCTCTGCAAGGGAGAAGGGACTGATGCTACATTAACAGCCTCCTCCCTGGTAGTCTGCAGGAGCCTCTCAGCTGCTGCTATGCACAGAGTGAACTCAGTGGAGCCTGGAGGCAGTGCTGAGGGGAACAGGATACCAGCCTTGTTCTGCAGCACCATCCCTTGAAAGCCACCAAGCTGGCGGCTCTTCCTCCCTGCGTTGTGCATTCCCTTTGTGTCTAGTACTGAGCTGCTGCAGGGAGAGCCAGCCAATGGCTGCATGTCTATTAAAAAATACATTGAACAGGAAATTAAGCAGTGCACTGATGAAAGCCAGGGGGATTTTCACCAGAGGAAGTAATATACTATGATGGTGTCTTTTTCCTGGAGAGCTCCTCAGTTTCCCCTATGAATAGCAGGACTTTGCAATTATTACCAGTTTATTTTGGTGGCTCTATTTATGGTAGTTATGGATTTAAATAATACAAAAAGATGTAGTGTAACTGTCGTCATGGCCCGGCACTGTAAGGCTTTGCTGTGGTTGCTGTCAGCACTGCTGATCTGGATATCCCTTGAGAACTTAAGTTGCTGGTTTGCTTGAAGACATCTTGATCGTATTGCCTGTGAAATTTGTTTTTGGCAATGAGATGGTTCTCCAGGAAAAGTCCTGCAGTGGTCTGCCACCACTGACTCTCTGCAGACTTTTAATTGAGAGAACATTATTTAAGTAGTGATTTTGGGTGGAGGAAGTTTGGGAGGGTGATATGACAGTTATATCAAGTCCAGTTCTTGCAACAGTTGTTGCTCTCGTAGGGAGATGGGAGCTGCTGAGAGGGTGATGCAGTTTATAAGTGTCCATCAGAAATTGTACATCAAAGATATATCAAGAGCATTACACTTTATCTTTGCTTTCAGGTTTTATTTGTGTCTGTTGCCTTCTTTACAGGAACTTGAGATGCAGGCTCGAGCACACGGACTTTCCCTTGTCCCATCTACAGGCCTTTGCTCACCAGATGTGGTAAACCGGGTCATCAAGCAAGAACCGGTAATTGACAACTGCAACCAAGACGTATTGCAGCACCGCTCAGATTTATCTTGCACGACTACCCTCGATCTTACTGATGGTACCATAACTTTCAATGATAACCTAGGAACCTACAGTGTCCCCACAAAAGTGGGATCCAAACTGGAAGATATTTTGATGGACGATACTCTCTCCCCTGTAGGAGTTACTGACCCACTCCTTTCCTCAGTGTCTCCTGGAGCTTCAAAAACAAGTAGCAGAAGAAGCAGCATGAGCATGGAAGATACTGATCATGCTTGTTAGCAGATAATTGGCATGGCCTCTCATAAACTGCTTCATTTCTTAATCAGTAGATTAAATAATTTACATTTTTAGGTTTTTTGATTTTCTTTTAATATTAATCTACTTGTGCTTCATCAATAGCCCAGTATATATATTATATATATATTTTTGAATTTTGTGAAAAGACTTGTATATTCTATTTTAAAAGTACCAATGCCTCCAAAATATTGTACAACCTATGTACAGTATTTGTGAACTGGATTCGCTAAGAACTTTGAACTGGTCAAATCTACTCAAAGCAATAGAATTACAAATCAAAACAACAGTCTGTTTCTATTCAGGGGAAACTAACAAGTTATTTACTTGGAAACTAAATGTAAAGCTTAAAAAAAAAAAGAGAGAGAGAGAATGTGAAGAAACCAAAAATATCCACTTTGTAACCATGTTGTGTTGATTTAATAGTGCTGCCTTAAAGATACAGTATCCTTCAAACTTAGTTTAGTCTTTATATCACAAGATGTTTAAAATAAATCACTATTCTACTTTAATAATAATAATAATAGTAATAATAATAATAAAACTAGCATTAACACATACTGATTGTGTTGATTCCAATATGAAATGTTCCTGATGATGATGCTAGAAATGAAGGAGAGTGTGTAGGGAGGCATGAATCTGTCTCAGTTTCTTGGAGTGTTGTTATTCTTACTCTCAACTGAAAGGGTTTCCCTTCTTCTCCCACTTCAAGCTTTTCTTTAAAGGCTTTTATTTTGGAAAGGACACTTAGAATTGTTTATCAACAGTAAAACAGACAGGAGCACTGTAAGCTGGTATACATTTTCAGACAAAATTCAATACATTTTATCAACTGGGCACATTTTGTTGTATATTTCTAACTGGCCTTACATTTTATTTTTTTTAAGTGTTGTACAGGTTTTTCATTTGCATGGATTCTTTAGTTATCCTCATGTTTTTGTTTTGTTTTTAAATATAGCTGTATTTCATTTATAAGAATATGCCTCTTAATATTGCAACAATTTTTTGACATGTTTAAAACTCACTGGAGGTTTTCTGCATTCTTTGTAAACACTTGAAAGGAAGCTTTTATGCAGGATCCTGTGTATTGAGAGATTTTGAGAATATTTTGTACATTACAGTCTCACTTTGGAAATATTTTTAAACACAATTTAAGGTGTAGTACAAATTTAGACTAGGTAATAAAACAAAGCTCTGTAGAGAAAATGAACTTACATATTTATTTTTAGTGATACAGAAAGAATAGTAATATGCTTGAAGCCTAATAACTATATAGTTAATATGCCCCTTAGAGTAATTAATTTGGTGTTTTATTTCAGCAATACGGCTGGTTTAAAAAGAGTAAATTTACTGTATCTTAAAATAACTGTTACTTTATAACCATCGTATTAATTTAACTTGCAACAATGTTGTAAAAGTAGTTTTGGTGCATTATCTACGCAAGTGTAGTCCTATGCAATAACAGTAGTTATAATCGTATTATATCAAACCTAGATGTTTTACAAAGATGACAGATGGTGTTATGAGCCAGATCGACTGGATTTCTCTGTAGCAGCCTACAGTTGAAATGTATCAGAAAAGCATCTCATTCAGAATGAAGTGCCTTAAATTGTAGTAGTAGTCTTCTTGGACTAGCACTGACTGAAGTGTGGCATAGAAGGAAGTTTTGGGGTGATATTTATAGGAAATCTGAGTGTAGCCTGGTGCCCTATTTAGAAAACAAGAGCGTCCCATTCTCTTTGTGCTACACTGGAAAGATATGTATAATATATAAAAATTTAAATCTTGTTTAGTGATTGAGTGCCAACATGGCAGACAAGAAAACTTGGTCATGGCGGTCTAATAGTGTTCCGAAATCAAATGTGAATATAGTGATGATGAAAGACAGAGGACAAAACGTCAGGAGTTTTAGTGGAAGGTTCATACTGATGGTTGCTGCATCTTTCACATATACTTTCTATTATGAAAAATCCTTGAAACCACTGGTGCCCAGTCCTGCTCTCATGGAAGCCAATAGGAGTTTTTTGTTTGACAATGGGAGTGCATGACTGGGCCTGTTATCAGCTCTGCTGCTTTCTATTCTGGTACTTGGGGTGGATTGGGGCTTAGAGAGGGAACTCTCCTATGTGACCGATACGGAAGAATGGTCTAGTTTACTATGTAGTCCTGCCTTGAGTGCAGGACACCTGACCATGACCCCTCGAGGTCCCTTCCAGTTCTACGCTTCTATGATTCTATATTCTTGACATTCTTTCTTATATTTGTACAGCTCTTTCACCGGTTAGTTATGCAGTTCTTTGTTTCTGCTTGAATAGCTAACTGTATATTCGCTTTGATAATCACCAGATTTGTCACTTTTGGGAGGGGTTGGGGGGGGGCAAGAGTCAGCTCACAGTGTTACAACAAATGCCTGTTCTTCCTAGCCTGTTTTTTGGACAGTTTTTTCTTTTTTTTTTTTTTGTATCTGTTAGACCAGTGGTTTCCAAACTGTGGCCCAGAGGCAGTGCACATGTGTCTCCAGCATTGCTTATTGCAGCCCATCGCCATACTCAGCAATGCAGTTAAGATGTTCATATATCCTGGGTGGCTCTTTGCACAGCAGCTGTGCCACAGTTTAGCAACTATGCATGCAGTCACTTGCTCCTGTTGTTGCAATACCTTAACGGTGACAGATGAAGGAAATAACAGGGATAGCTCAGTGGTTTGAGCATTGACCTGCTAAACACAAGGTTGAGAGTTCAATCCTTGAGGGGGCCACTTAGGGATCTAGGGCAAAATCAGTACTTGGTCCTGCTAGTGAAGGCAGGGGGCTGGACTTGATGACCTTTCAAGGTCCCTTCCAGTTCTAGGAGATAGGATATCTCCATTAATTTAAAAAAGAGTGGCTATAGCTCTAATGCAAGTTCATATATTCCCCTTCAGAGTAAAAGGGTGAGCAAAGGCCAGAGAGCTGCAGCAATTGGACAAAAATGGGATGCACAAGGTCATTTGGGTGTTGTAACCAGAAAAATCCATTCAAGATGGTACCCAACACGGTATCCAGTTTGGGGCTATGTAGAAGTGGGGCCTGGATGTAGGGTATGCAAATATGCATCATGCTTATTTGAGCCCTCTGTGGACTAAAATGAAACCCTGATCCCCTGCCCTCATGCGATTTGTAGATGGTCCCCGTATGCTTAGAAATTGACAAAAATATGATTCCTTACCAAGATCTGGATTTCTCTGGATGAACATTACTATGGCCCCCAGCAGCCATATTGTGCTGTCCGTAAAGGGAGCACACTGTACATAATACTCAACGTTGGCCTTTTCCTCAACTCCTCTTACGCTTCCTTGGGTCACACCCCATTTTGGGATATTGCAGCTGAAAGCACATGAGTGTTCTCATTTGGTACGCCAGTAGGAGGCATGGGCTTTTCAGGCAGTTAAGTTCTGATGCTCTTATTCTCTCTACGGTACATGCACCATGGAGCATATGGCCCTTAATGTGGAGTCAGCGGCTTGAGGCAAGACACTGCGTCAGCAAGATGGAGCAGCATCCCTAGGACAGTTATTGCCCAAAGCTTCAAGCTGTAATGACTGTATGGCCCACATGCCAACAATGTGAGCCAGGCCTGGCTTACCTGGCCAGGTAAATGGATTACCAAACAATTCTCACTTTGCCAAAACCATGCAACAAATGTGAACGTATAGAATATAATGAAGTTCTTTATTGTTTTTAGACTCTAAAGCAATATTAACTCTGCGGCCTATAAAAGCAAATAGGAAGTGTACAAGGAAAAAAAAAAAAAAAGCAAAGCACAAAATAATGCACTTACATTGATGGTTTTTTTACATAAAATGCACTGGGAAGAAGCAGACGTTGATATAAAATACCTATATTTCTTGAAAAGGTGACATGAATTACTGCCTCTTGCTATGATGCTTGGTACTGTAATGTTGTTGATATTCACCTGCTGTTGACTGCAGCAATAATTTGTGTATGGTCCATAGCACTGTAAATTATGGATCGATAGTAATGTATCCCATGAAATACTTTGAACTGTTGTTCTTGATAGATGGATTAAAGCATTTGGTTTTTCACATCCTCTGTGTAAGCCACTTGTGTCCAGTGTAAGTGAATCTTGGTTTTAAATGTCTTTAAGACTCCCCAACAGTACATGTCATGTTTGTGACTTAGTCACTGACCGATTGTGCCAAAGTTTTTAAAGCTACAGTAATAAGTGATTTTAGTTCTTACTGTGTTGTTGCAGCCTTTGTTCTGTATTATTTATTGTATTGCGGTAGTGCCTACGTGTCCCAGTCATGGAGCAGGACCCCATTGTGCTAGGCACTGTCCAGACACAGTACAAAGACCCTTCCTCCCCTGAAGGATTTACAATCGAAGCATAAAACAAAAAACAGCTGGTCACTACAGACAAACATCCTCCTCTTGGAATCTGACGACAGCTGTCTTTTGCCCCTCAACCCCATTCAAACTACAGTTGCTAAGATCGTCTTCCTGGCCTGTTGTTCTGACTACTTCACCCTACAATGGCTCCCTCTCGCCTGTAGTGTGAAGCACAATATCTTTGTCCTAACATCCCATCCCTCCCTGAACTACTCAGCTGCATCCTATGTATCTGTCTCGTTGTGAGGTTGACTTTGCTCTAACAGTGTCAGCCTTGAGCATCCGTCATTCCCACAAGCCCCTTAGCTTGGGGGAAAGATCCCACTTGATATCTGCATCCTCTAATCATTGAAATCACTTAAAGCCACCTCAAACTGCAGAGAGATGTAATTGTCTGTGCCTAAATTTGTGAAAATTCTTAGGCTTTAGGAATAGAATGCATTGGTTTATCTAGGTATGTAATTAAAAACAACCTCTTTTATATCACCCTATTTAAAGAGCAAAAGTAAGGTTCCTTTATATCTTCTGTTACCTACACTGGCATTCTTTAGACCAGTACTTTAAGGATCCAATACAGTACTTGAACTGGATGGTGTTAGAAGCAGCCTGTCTACAATCCTTAGCCGGACCTAAACTTCTGACCTCTGATTAGAAGGGCTTTGACTTAATACCATGGAGTGCATTAACTTACAACTGAAATGTGTGATTGTCTTGAAGATTATGGGCCACTTTTCTTTTTGCTGGCCTACCTCCATTGACTCCCAAGGTTTTTGCCAGCAGCAAATGTGGCCCCTAATTTTTAAGAGCAGCAGAAAGCAAGTATTATCTCTTGCACAGAAGGGTAAGTGAAGCATAGAGACGAAGCAATAGGCCTAAGGTTACAAAGGAAGCCTGTGGCAGAGGTGGATCCAGCTCTTCTGAGTCCCACGCCAATGCTTTAACCGCAGGACTAGAATTCCTATCAAATGTGAGTTCATCTGTGCAACTGAAGCCTATATAAGCATTTATAGCGTTATGTGATGCTTTTGTGTATAATGGGCAGAAATGCACTACCAAGCAAGACAAAGGCTGTTACTATGCGTGTGGCTTAGAGAGGATTTCAGAGTGAACACTGTGAGCTTTGGGGAAACTTTAATCCTGATCTGAAGGGCAATGATTTGGCCTGTCTAATACGGATGGGTAGCGGGGACAATATCAGTGGTTTGCATCTCAGCACACATGCATATGACTATGTGATGACCTGAATTCCTGTTGTCTTCATTAGGAGTTTAGCATAAGACTGCACAGTGTTGTAATGGTCTTCTATAAAACTGGAGACCAGGGTCCAGTTCTTAACGTGAAAACTGGTGAAGGAGGAGTGACTACGTGACCCTTGGGGTTAGTTTGTCGTCTGTAGCTTGAGGGCTTGCTTGCTGTGTGCCTGCTTGACTGAAGTTTATAGTGTGGTCTGTGTGGGGGGCCCTGTCCTGAGCCTAGTGGCCTGATAGGCAAGGCTGAGAACTTCTTAATGAGGCTTTGATCCGTAATCCCTTTAGGATCAATTAACCAGGGGACAGGGATATTCAAGGAGAACAGGGGTTTAAAAAGCCAGCTCCTAAGCGACCAGAGCAGCTAGCAAATGGGAGTTTTGCGAAAGAGTTGAGAGGGAGGTTGAGAACCAGATAGACCCAAAAACCATTCTCTAAACTTAGGCCAAGAAATCTCCCCAAAAAACCTCCTCCCCCCCCCTAAAAACCAAAAAGGGGCAGGAGTAAAAATAATGGAGGCAGAAGTCCAGCAGCAGAGTGGGGCTATGCAGTCTATTGCGCTGATTTCAGCATGTATGATTGCCTGTCTTGTGGACACGTGGCATATTCAGTGCAAGCACCTCCTGGCTCTCAGCAAATATGGGCTCTAGAGGTCAGAGTGGCTCAACTGGAGGAGCTAAGGGAGACCGAGAGGGATGAGACTTGCTGGGACACAGTAGAGCAGTCCCACCCTCAGTCTGACAGCTTCTGTGCTGTTGAGGAGGATGAAGGTCTCGGGGAAGGAGAACATCAAACTGGAGTGGAGGGAAACGATCCCTTAGTTGGGACCCTCCTTTCAGATGATACGGTATTCCCTCACACTGAGGAGATGCCTCTAGGGGAGGGAACCCCAGTTATTAGGATGAGACTGGTAATGGCAATAGGGCAGTGGTCCCCAAACTTTTCATGTCATGCCTCCCCCCTTACTGCTCTCTGTTCCCCCACTCCGGAGCTGTGACTGGGAGCCGGGGTCAGGGTTCAGAGGCACCAGACGGGGTAAGGGGGTCCAGGCTGGAGCCACGGCTGGGCCGGAAGCCTGGGGGTGGGGCCAAATTTAGGCCAGGACCTCCATGGTAGCATTCTTTGAAATGCTCCCAGTTCCACACACAGGGCCAGTTAAACAGGCAGAGCTGCA